ACCCAACGACTGGGTCCATAAAAGTATGTAGCGAATTGATATGGAAGGGTTAATTTTTTATAGTATATATGTTTAATAGCCTACCCGCTTCATTCTAGGAGATTGGCATATAATAATGAATTTTAAATATAGATTAGTAGATAATGCTAGGATCTCTGGTATTTTATTTATAATAACGCAAGTGGTCTCTATGACATGCCGTAGTTCAGCTCTTATCAAACTCCGCAATTTCGGAGATCAGCTCCAACGTATGCAAGAACATACACCCGCTCTATACAGTTGGCTCATGGCCTCGTGGTGGGAATATAATTCCTGGAGGTCTCTCCTTCAATGGCTTTAATATGTAAGTAATAAAATTTCCCGGCGGTCCTTTTTTTCCCTCAAAATAGACAGAACACCAACTCCAAATGCTCCCCTGACTTACATTGCCTCTATCTAACCCATTGGATATCATACTACACGTAAAACAGCCAATTTGATCCTCGGGCTGCGCCGCGATCCACGCCTGCTGTATAAATTTCCACCGTATCTATCCGCTATTCTCGTTGTTGTCGGGGTTGTCTGGCTCCTTCTCCTCCCGCTTAACGAATACTCCCGCCAAACATACATCTCCGAGAACGCGCTTTTACCAGGTCAAGTACACACGTACTTTGCGGGGAGTGAACAGAATGTCTTTCGGGGGTATCGACGGGAAATTGACCTTGTGAAGGATGCGGAGTATGACGTGTAAGTGCCTTTGGTTTTATTTTTGGGCTTATCACAGTTCTGAGAGCGTTCTGGAAGGAAAATGGAATATCCTTCGAGGTCAAAACTACTTCCGATATTTTAGTTGATTCTTGATTCTTGATTCTTATTTGCTCCTTGATTTCCTGGAGAGACGGCTTGCTAACCTTCGTCGTTGTGTAGAATTTCAGAAAAAATACAGTCGATATTTCGAGAATCCGGTCTGAAAGTCGCAACTCAAAATTATGAATATCAGTCAGCCGGGAACAGACATGTGGGACAAAATGTTTACGGCGTTATTCATGCTCCACGGGGAGATGGAACAGAAGCTATCGTTTTGGTAGCCGCTTGGAAAACCGTTGACGGCGAGCCAAATCTCAATGGCGTGACATTGGCCTTAACTCTGGCTAGATATTTCAAGCGTTTGTCTCTCGTAAATAAAAATCCGAGCGCAAAATAACGACAAATGCTAATGATACATTGGGGTAGGGTGGTCGCTATGGTCCAAAGACATAATCTTCCTAATTACGCCGGACAGCAAATCCGGTACACAGGCATGGGTCGACGCCTATCATGATATGCATCCGGCATCTGTTCAGCCTCTTCCTCTAAAAAGCGGTGCATTGCAGGGCGCTTTAGTATTCGAATACCCCTTCGACTACAGATTTGAATCCATCCATATCTTATACGATGGCGTCAATGGACAGCTGCCCAACCTTGACCTTTTCAACACTGCTGTTTCAGTATCCAGCGGACAAATGGGCATTCCAGCCTCCTTGCAAAAAATGTTTCAGCACGACGACAGCTATAAAATGCGGCTGCAAACTATGCTTCGAGGAATGGTGAACCAAGGGTTGGGTAATGCCGCTGGCGCTCATAGCAGTTTTATACCTTATCATATTGATGCGATTACGCTCCAGACGATCGGCAACGGATGGCAGGACGAAATGGCGCTCGGTAGGACTGTAGAAAGCCTTGTACGCAGTTTGAACAATCTGCTGGAACATTTCCATCAGAGCTTTTTCTTCTATATCTTGATGCAAGCGAACCGATTCGTCAGCATTGGGACGTATCTTCCTAGCGCAATGATGATTGCTGGGAACTTCACGCTCATGGCTGTTGCCTTGTGGATGAAGAGTGGAGTCCGTACTTCCCCAAGCGCAATCATCAAAAATCCCAAGAAGGCGAAATCAAATAGAGGGGAAGATGCCATCGTAGATGAGCAAGAAAAAAATGGCGTTATGGAACGGCATATTGCATTGCCCCTAGCGCTAGTATTCGGACTACACCTTCTAGGTGTAGCTCCCCTCTATGCGTTCAATAATATGTCTCACCAAGTAAGTGCTTCTTCATATATATTTTGTGCATATGATCATAAAAACCTCGACACTAACCCAACTTTACCCCAACAGTACTTCGAACAAGCAACCCACCTCTTCGCATTCATAAATATAGTTCTTCCAATAATTCTCGCCGCCATCCTAACCCGCTTCTCAAGCCCATCAGCCCAACAATTTCTCCTCATAAAATCCTTCTCCCTTCTGCTCCTTGGCCTCTTCCTTTCCGCACTCGCCACCTTAAACTTCTCCCTATCCCTCATGATCGGGCTCTTATGCACGCCCCTATCCTACATTGGTCATATTCAAAATGCCACGAATTCTCAATCAAAAGCTACGACGGACAAAGCCAAACGTGGAACAACACCTTCAGCCTCAACGTCAGTGACGACCATCCTTCTACCAGTGTTAGGCCTCATATTCATGAATCTACTTTCGCCAACTTCAGTGTTATTGGCTGCTTGTCATTTCTGGCAGATTCCGGTCTCTACATTGCTGACTGAGGCGGCGTTTGGGTGGGACGTATGGGGTGTGTGGACTCAGGTAGTCGTTTGGTGCATGTGGTGGCCCGCTTGGCAGTGTGGGTGTTTGCTACTAGCTTCGTCTCTTTTCTGAGGTAGAAAAGAATGGTATAGTGATCATATTGAGTTGATATTTGATGTGAAACTAAGGTGCAAGAAGAAGCCTTGGACTTTGGAGAGGGTTTTCTTTTTTCTTTTCTTTTTTTCTTTTTTCTTTTTTATTTTTTTTGGGAGGGGGGTTGTTGTGCTATTTAATTGTTTGTTTTATAGATCATGCTATGATACTCCCTAGAAGGTATGCCAGTTGTGCAGCTGAAGTAGCAGTAAAGACCTGAGTGTCAAAATCCTCTACAAAATTTTTACACCTTATTTCCAGGCAAATATCAACTCCCTAGTGGCCCTCTCATACCCTCTGCCATCCTTTTTTCAGAATTCTTGCATAAATATAATCTCTCAGGACAAGCTGATACGATCTATCATGAACCATAATGTAAAAATTTTCCCGAATATTAATTCTGAACGAGATAGGATTTTATAATCTTACAGGAGGCGGGCTGGGTAAAGGAGGGATCACAGCGAACTTGTAGCATATGATGTAATTTAAATTTAAAACAAACATCCAGAGAGATTGATGGGACGAAAAGATTGGGGATATATATTTATGCAGCCCAAACATCCTTCCCAACCCCCTCAATCCAGTGGCCAAGTTGGTTAACGCCAGAATCCCACTCGCGCAACCGATTCCGCATTCCCTCGATCTGCCCCATGTCGAGAACCTTGGGCTGCACCCAACTGATCCGTGCAATCTGCGCAACTTGGTCGATAGTCCCCTTGAGCAGACCAAGGCTAAGAGCTTTCATAATAAGATGCTCGATCTCATTAGGCTGCACTTTTGTCTCCTGTGATATCGCAGTGAAGGTCATTGTGCGGTCATGTGGCGGTCTGCGGAAAACGGTTTCCGTCAGCGCGGCCAGAGAGATCTTCTGGTATAAGAAGACCTTGTGTTGTTCCAGGAGTTGATTTTTGCTAATGTTCCCTGCGAGGACGTCGTAGGCAGCCAGGTCGCCGCGGTTAAACGCGAAGAGCAGGTCACGAAGCCAGGCATGTTGTGTGTTTTTTAAGGAGTCGAGGACTGGGTGAAGGAGGAGTTCGCCAAAGTTGTAAATGGAGTCGGAGACGAGAGCGGCTATGCTCAAATCGTATGCTCGTGCGACGCAATCTTCCTGTGTCAGGTCTTTGACGTCCACGCATGCAAGGTACAGGAGGGCATTTTTATAGTAGGAAGCGAATTCTAGTTTGGCCTGAAACACCGGGTAGGAGGATTAGACAGGAGGGTCGACGTAGATATTTATTATGTGCCGGTGAGACTTACGTGGTAGTAATCTGCATTCACTTTGTAGAATGCGGCATGAACAACTGTCTCGACGGAATCAAAGGAATCCAACACGCGTTCGGAGGTGTCTAAATCCTTTCGCGCTCCCTCAAATTCCTTTAGTCGCAGCTTCACGCTGGCCACATCTGCCATGGCATAAACATATGCATCTTGTGACCCAGGTTTGTTCACCCTCTCAGCCAACGATGTAAGGAACGCAAGCCGTTCCTGGTCGTCTAAAATCCCCCAGTGTTAGCTCGTTAAATCCCGCCATATCACCATATCACCGCCACCTTAACAATCCCCATCTTCATTTTCGGAAATTGCGTAAACGAACCTTCACATTGTGTCGATGCCATCAACCCCAGAGTCACAAACTTCAGCTGATTGATCTTGTCCGCAAAGCTGAGTATGAAGTTCTTGAAGATGGCTAATCTCTGCGGCGCGCTTTCCGGGAGACAGAAGAATTCTATCAGCGCATTCGTGAGCTGATGCCATAGTTTCCGCTCCCAGAAATCTTCGAAGGCTAAAAAGGACTCATGGGACTCGCTAAGAGCTTCTTCCCTCTGCTCTGCGAGAAAATCGGGGATCTTGTCAGCCTGCATGGCAGGCAGAGTGAAGGGAGGCGGGGTTGTTCGAAGCTAGGTAACTCGTAGAAAATATAATGCGGAAATTCTAAGGCGGAATAGGAAGCTCTTAAGGTAAGTGGGTTTGTTAGATTTGTTTGGGGAGGAGAGTTGTTGCTGATGTTGTCTGCGGTGGTGCGGTGGTGTGGTGGATGATATTGGACGATGTTGGATGAAGCTTAAATTAAGGTGTTTTACTGAAATATGCATAAGTGGATGAATAATCCAGCCTCCCTCAGCCGCATCAACTAGTAAGATTCCCAAATCGCCCTATTCAATCATCTCAACGATTGAAAAATAAAAATGGCCATTTTTTCCTCAGTACGGAGCACTGGACAAGGATTCTTGTCCATTTCAACCAGGCTATTGCGATTTGTGGCCGAGATATTGCTATTCGAAGGGGTTACTCACATACAAAACAGGGCGATTGGTTTAGTGGTATAATACCCCCTTAGCATCCAGTTTTCACAACAAAACTCGAGTGGGGGTGGTCCAGGGTTCGATTCCCTGATCGTCCAATTCTTTTTTAAGAACATTTCAATCGATTTTTTTTTATTTTGATCAAATTCCGAATTTTGCGATCGAAATATTCAATTTTATAGAGACTTCGGATAGGGCTCTCTATATTTTTGGGCGGGGGATGTGCGTGCCTTCCGTATCTGGCGCCGGGGGGGGAAGAGTTGGGGCACCTTCCTTGTTTGAAATATAAATCTTTCTTTAGACTACGGCACAAACCACGCTTTTGTTATTCTATGATATAATTTAGATGTTGTAGAAGACATGATTCCGCTTGTAACTATTCTATCTGAGGAAAAAAATGGTTGCCAGGGGCTTATCTAGTAGGTTGGGCAGTGATTGATTCGGCATATATTTACTACCTTCTCTGGGGAATAACCACTCCAAAAAAATCGCACCAAGAGCAGCGATTCCCAAAAAAACGATCAATGCATTTCTGCTTCTCCAATGTCTGAAGTATTACTATATTCACACTTTGCAGCTTGTCCAGAACGCAATTTCATAAGTGTTACTTTGTAACTACTCCGTACAGTACTATTAGTTACATAAGCTGTCTGATAGGGTGTCGGCTTCGACTATTCCCCTTTAGGGCGAGCTGGAGTCTCCTTCAACTTTCCACCCCCAAAAGACCAAGCCAAACAAGCAGAACAACTTCAATTCCACACAAACGCCGCAGGAGCGCTACTTGACTTCCGCCATTGCGCCCCTGGCGGTTCCCCGACCCCATTCCGTTTCACGATTGTTGCATCGTTACATGGTCAATTGATCGGATTAGCAATGCAGAAGTGCCGCGCCATCCAGGGCGCCCTAGGCTCACGGGCAGCCACCACCCCACTGCCAGCAGTTCGAGCTCAACCTCACATCCAGCGCCGAAATATACAGGATGTCTACATCACCCGGACCGGGACGCCAATTATCAAGGTCCAGGGCGGACGGTATGGTACCAATTGCTCTGTTTTCGGATGAGTATGAGTGCTAACAAAAGACCGTCTTTATTTCAACAGCTCGTCCCTTGGAGGTATTTTCTCCCACAATCCGTCTCGCGCAGGCTTCATTTTACTGAACGGGTTTTTCTCTTTTTTTTTTAGGGCATACTGCTACGGTCTTCGGTGCTACAGGTTTCTTGGGTCGTTATATTGTGAACAGACTTGGTATGCATACCCACATCCTTGGGGTGATGACCTGTTGGACGGACTCGAGTAGTTAATGGAGAATATGTGGTGTAAAGCCCGCCAAGGATGTACTGTGATCGTCCCTTACCGAGAGGAGATGGCAAAGCGTCATTTGAAGGTTACCGGCGATTTGGGAAGAGTTGTTTTCATGGTGAGATTCCCAACCCAGAAGCACAACAATCATTGGCTCCCTCCCGCTGATTATCTTCCGTTTCTGTATATAGGAGTACGACCTTAGAAACACACAATCGATTGAGGAGAGCGTGCGCCATTCGGACGTCGTTTACAACCTTGTGGGCAGAAAATATCCGACAAAGTATGCGATTCCGGGAAAGCCATCATCCTAAATCACTACATTTCCTTTACTAAAAATATTTTGCAGGAACTTTTCTTACGAGGATGTCCACATCGATGGCTTACAGAGAATTGTGGAAGCTACAGCCAAGTACGACGTTGACCGCTTCATCCATGTTTCTTCCTACAACGCGGACCCGACTTCACCTTCTGAATTCTTCAGAACCAAAGTATGTATCGAGAAGAAAGCTGTCAGTGTTTCTCTCTACTAACTTTTTTCCCATTAGGCTCAAGGCGAGAGGCTTGCTAGGATGATATTCCCAGAAACAACGATTGTTAGACCAGCGCCTATGTTTGGATTTGAGGATAACCTGCTCCACAAGCTAGCCGGCATAACCAACCTGTTTACTTCCAACCACATGCAGGAGCGATACTGGCCAGTCCACGTAGGTTACCCCGGTACATTTGTGAGATGATCACTGCTAAGTTAACTTTTTTCTCTCTTCCTCCTCAAAAGGCTATCGACGTTGGCCAAGCTCTTGAGAAGATGCTCTTCACCGATGCATCCGTGGCGCAGACATACGAGTTGTACGGCCCAAAGCGCTACTCAACTGCTGAGATTGCCGAACTTGTCGACCGCGAAATCATCAAGAAGCGTAGACATATCAATGTGCCCAAACGCATTATGAAACCGGCTGCCTACTGGGCCAACAAACTCATTTGGTGGCCCACAGTATCGGCAGATGAGGTTGAGATGGAGTTCCTCGACCAGAAGATTGACCCATCCGCCAAAACATTCAAGGATCTGGATATTGAACCTGCTGAGCTCAGCAACTTGACTTTCCACTATTTGGTACGTAAAATTCGAAGCTTAATCTGCCTTGGATTCTTTTCTTTTTGTTTCCTTCCTAATGTAACCCAATACTTACCTTACACTCTTTTCCACAGCGAGGTTACCGAAGCTCCCAATACGCTGACCTCCCTCCGGCGACGGAGCGGGAGAGGATGGAAGACAAGAAATATGTGCACGTCCTCGATGACCAGTAGACCAACTACTGTTCCTTATAAAACATGTATATACTCGTACTTTTAACTAGATGCAATCAAATTTTACATTTCTTTTGTTGGTTTTAATTTCTTGCAATGGGGATAATTATTCACGGGCTATGTGTTTACTTCCTGTATAGGACTCGGTGCAGAAGTGTCAGGTGAAGCTGGTAATATGATAAAGACAATATAAATTTCCGTACTTTTGCTCCATTTCTTTATCTTTTATTTATTATTTACAGCTCACTTGGAAATAAAGTGAGAGCCAATAGAATTACAAGATAATACATTTCACTCGTGGACCCAATGACGTGCTAAAATATTTAAATGTTAAAAGAAATATTGATATCAAACTTTCCTCCCTCATTCCAATGAATCCATCCTCACCCCGCCAACAAGAAATAAATACTAGTATTTACCATCCCTTCCCTCCATTCATTTCCCAATGCCATCGGAATCACCAGAATCATCATGACAAATCCTGCGTCAAGCGCTCCCGCCAAAACCCCCATCTTCCTCCTAAAAACCAAATCAACCCCCCACGACGGGTACGAAGAATACTTCTCCGTATCCGGCCAGTATGACCCGTCCTTCATCCCCGTTCTCGAACACAGGTTCCTCGAGGCAAATCTACAGAGGGTGAGGGACCTGTTCGTTTCTGGAAGTATAGGGAAGCTATATGGCGGGTTGATCTTTACAAGTCAAAGAGCTGTAGAAGGGTTCGCCAGGGTGATTATGGATGAGGTAGGGCGTATGTTCCCCCGCCGCCGCCATTTCTCTCTGTTCCTTTTTTTTCTTTTTTTCTTTTCTTGCGCCATATGATTTTACCCATTATCGAAAAACCAACGTTGGACTATGTTACACACATCATTGTGAAATTTATAAACTGCTAACACCCCGCAATGCGCGGGATACAACAGAAACCGCATCTACAAAGGCCTCCGAATCCCTACTTCTCTACACCGTCGGACCAGCCACCTATCGCTCCCTAAATACATTGCGCGAATCGCATCTCCCGCACTCCCAACTCGTAGGCCACGATGCGGGCACAGGTGAAAAACTCGCGCATATCATCCTCGACCATTACAATGCGAATTACGACCAAAGCCATTCCAACGCCAATCCTGCTGATGACTGCGCGAACTCGACAGGAGGGAGTGGTAATAGTAATAAGCTTCCCCTCCTCTTCCTCATTGGTGAACAACACCGAGATATCATTCCCAAGACACTAATGGCAGATGCCCTCCCGCCAGAGAGGCGGATAGAGGTTGAGGAGCTGATTGTATATGAGACGGGGGTTATGGAGTCGTTTGAGGCTATGTTCGCGGCTGCCCTGTGGGATGCGAGGAGGAGGAGGAGGAGAAGGTGCAGTAGGATAGAAGGGGATGGTAGTAGTGTCGATGGTGATGATGGTAACGCTGACGAACGGGTTATGTGGGTTGTTGTTTTTTCACCTACTGGGTGTGAGGCTATGCTTCGGACGCTTGGAGTGATTCCTCCAGGCGATGAAGGGGAGGGAAGGGGGACCGGTGATATGTCAACGTCTGCGAATGGAGAGGGGGAAGAGAAAGAGAAGAAAACGAGGAGAATTGAGAACGCACTGCGTGATTGTTATATTGCAACAATTGGGCCGACGACTAGAGATCATCTACGTGCACGGTACGGGGTGGAGCCAGATGTTTGCGCGGAAATTCCTAGCCCTGAAGGGGTTGGGGAGGGGATTGAGAGGTTTTTGTTGGCGAGAAAGGGTAGATAGTAAGGTTGAAGGCGTATGAAGTTATTTCAATGCTCTTCAATACTGTACTATAAACTAGGCATAGGCATATAATTGTATAATAATCTAATGTACTGTACATACATATCAGTTGATCCTGAATGGAAGCATAGATCTCTTCCACCTCGCGCTGCCTCCTGGCATATATTTACTTGAATTTGGCGCTCTCCGATCCTCCTAGTCTGGTTCGCATCCATCTCAGCTAAATATTTGGCTAAACAACCTCTATCCCATAACATGGGTGAAGAAAGAAATGGTATGAAGAAAGGATCTAAGGGTGGGTGATTCCTCTTGTTGTAAGATCCAAAGCCACACTCCCGTTGCCCGCACCTCTATCTTTGTTTTTTTCCCGGACCCCTTTCCTTGTTCAGGGATATTTATTATCTTACCCCAGCGCTGTAAGATCTAGTTGCTCTCCCTAAGAACTACTAGTAAATATGTATGAAGAGTCAACAATCGTCTCTCGCCTGTAATAATCTTTCAAACAAACAGCCCCCATCCAGCTTCCCAAAGCTAGGCATAAACACCAAGATAACTTGAAATATGTAGCCGCTTTGTCTAAAAAAAATTTTAATAATATATATATACTCACACTATGATTTATTCAAGTGTTTTGAACAGTGTAGATTATCTATTCAAACTTAGCTAGAATTTTATTAAAAGCTTGATGAAATCTCTTTTTTAATTTATCATAGATTATTTAAATACTGTTTAA